TCCAAAACATCTTTTCATTTCCCTGGGGAAATAGGTACCTATGAATGGGTAGTTATGCCTTTTGGCCTAAAAAATGCTGGGGCAACCTACCAAAGGGCAATGAATTCAATATTTCATGATTATATAGAAACTTTCATGCAGGTTTACATAGATGACATTGTGATAAAGTCTGTATCAGATGAAAGTCATCTGAATCATCTTCGCCAGTCATTCGAAAGGATGAGAAAACATGGCTTGAAGATGAATCCTCTTAAATGTGAATTCTTTGTGCAGGATGGAGACTTCTTGGGCTTTGTGGTCCACAAGAAGGGGATAGAAATCAACCAGAACAAGACAAAGACTATCATGGAAGCAAAAGCTCCATCAACTAAAAAGGAGTTACAATCACTCTTAGGGAAGATAAATTTCTTGAGAAGGTTCATTTCCAACCTAAGTGGTCGAACTCAAGCCTTTCCCACTTCCTTTGTTTGAAACAAGGAAAGTTCGAATGGAACGAAGAGCATCAAAAAGCTTTTAGTAAGATCAAGCAATATCTCATGAATTCTCCCGTTTAGTCACCACCTTGTGGAAGGAAACCTATGAGATTGTATATATCTGCCTCTGATGTTACTATTGGTAGTATGTTAGTGCAAGAAGACGAAAATGGCGTCGAAAGATCCATTTACTATCTAAGTAGAGTCTTAAATGATGCAGAAACAAGATATACTGCTATAGAAAAGCTTCGTCTTTGTTTATATTTCTCTTGTACAAAACTTAAATATTATATAAAACCTATTGATGTATATGTTTCATCACATTTCGATATTATCAAACATATGTTGTCAAAGCCAATACTACACAATCGAATTGGCAAATGGGCCTTACCCCTTACTAAGTATTCTTTAGCCTTCATGCCTTTAAAAGCAATGAAGGGTCAAGTAGTCTCAGTCTTTATTGTAGACCGTGTAGTGGTCGAAAACCCTCAACATTATGTTGAGTTAAAACTCTAGAGATTGTTCTTCGACGGTTCTACCCATCAAAAGGGAAGTGGAGTTTGGATTCTAATAATTTCTCCTGATGGAATTCCCACAAAACTTAAGTATAGAATTGAAGGTCCCCTCTGTTCAAACAATGAGGCAGAGTATGAAGCCTTGATTGCAGGACTTGAAGCCTTGTTGGAATTGGGGGCAACAAGAGTCGAAATCGAAGGAGACTCTGAGCTAGTAATAAAGCAATTGACAAAGGAGTACAAATGCATAAAAGAAAATTTGATTATGTATTTCGTTATTGCAAACAAATTACTTAAAAAAATTGAATATGCAGATATAAAGCAAGTCCCTAGAGTAAAAAATCAAGAGGTAAATGACTTAGCACAAATAACATCAGGGTATAAAGTGACTAAAGAAAAACTATAAGAATTGGTTAAAGTTAAGGGAAAGACAATGACTACAAGGTTGTCTCCAACAGATTTGGAAAGTACCCAGTTACGTTACGCTAACAAAGACACATTTGAAGTATTGATCACTAATACTCTAGTAGATACAGATTGGCGAAATCAAATTGTTAATTATCTCAAAGATCCTTTGGTAGACACAGAAAGAAAGACTAAATATAGGGATTTGTCTTATATCTTAATGGGGAATGGATTGTTCAAGAAAACTCCTGAAGGAGTTTTGCTAAAATGCTTAGGAGAAAGTGATGCATATTTGGCATTATCTAGTGTTCAAAGTGGAGGATGTGGAGCCCATCAAGCTGGTCATAAGATGAAATGGTTACTATTTCGATATGAAATGTATTGGCCTTCTATGCTTAAAGACCGTATAGAATTTGCTAAGGGATGTCAAGAATGCCAAAAGCATGCTGGTATCCAACATGCTCCAGCAAGTGAACTTCATGCAATCATTAAACCTTGGCCTTTCAGAGGTTGGACACTGGATCTAATTGGAGAAATTCGACCTGCTTCATCTAAAAACCACAGGTACATTTTAGTAGGTATATATTACATTACAAAATGAGTTGAGGCCATACCTTTGGTAAATGTGGGTCAGGAGATTGTTATCGAATTCATTCAGAAACAAATAATTTATAGATTTGGCATCCCAGAGAGTATCACAACAAACCAAGGATTAGTCTTCACTGGTCGAAAGATGCAGGAGTTCGCCAAGGAAACAGGTTTCAAACTATTGACATTTACACCTTACTATGCTCAAGCAAATGGCCAAGTCGAAGCAGCCAATAAGGTGATAATTGGGTTGGTAAAGAAACATGTAGGGAAGAAGCCTAAAAATTGGCATAGAACTCTATACCAAGCATTATGGGCTTGTCGAACGTCCCCTAAAGAAGAAACTAATGCCACACCTTTCCAACTTACGTTTGAATTTGATGCAGTGCTACCAGTCGAAATCTACTTGCAATCAGTTAGAATTCAAAGGCCAGAGGAAATTCCTTCTGACCTTTATTGGGAAATGATGATGAATGAGTTAGTAGATTTGGATGAAAGAAGGTTGCATGCCTTAGAAAGACTAAGAAGACAAAAGGAAAGAGTGGCAAGAGCATACAATAAGAAGGTTAAAGGCAAGACTTTTATTATAAATGACTTAGTATGTAAAGTCATATTACCTATGGATCGAAAGAATAAAGCGTTAGGAAAATGAAAGGTTGCTAGTCGAAATCTGGTGATTACAAAAAATATCCATTTCTGTATTGATTCGAAATAGATATTTATTGGGGGCAATTTGTTAGCTGAAGATTTCGACATTTGATAAAAATATGAAAGTTGATTTGAGAAGATCATGTTTTAAAAAATAACATGAAATTTGACCTTATAAGGTTATTTTATAAAGCTCATTTTTATGATTCGATATGTCGAATGGCAACTTAAAGTGAAATGAGTGTTTCAAGATGTGTGAATACTTCGACAGTCATGTTGGTTGAATTCAAAATTAAATTCAAAAGTTTAGAGCGGGAAGTTTAAATTTCAAACTAATGTGTTTTCGCCAGGAAGACGCGTGGAAGCGCCAGAATGTACGCATGTAAAAGATGTCGAACGTGACATAATCTCATAGAAAGACCGTTAGGGTCGAATTAGTATAAATAGGAGTCTTAGATGTTAGGATTCAGGGTGTTCACATTATATACAAATCACTCATACTCAAAGTACCAGAGCGAGAGAAAAGAATTTATTGATAATGTATGTGTAAGAACACCATCATTTTATTCAAAGTTGTTTTCTTATTACAAAGTTATTTTCATTGCTTTCTATATTCCTTTCGTTTCCAGTCAAACACTTTTAACAGATTTTGTCGAACTTCCTTTATAAGCATTTTTTTCTTTATATTTTATAAATATTTAGATCATTTCCTTTAAAGTTATATTTAGGATTCATAGCCAAATTTTAAACATCTTGAAGTAACCATAATCACGTAGAAAGACCTTATTATTATGTCAAATTCTAAGTCGAGTTGTAACACTAAGACACATGTCCTAGGATCAATCTAGTCGATCATGTAAGTTACCAAAACATAGAGTTTGAAAGACTAGCGGTTGTTTGTCAGAAATCACTGGTAAACAACTGGTTACTGTTTTAAGTAACTCGCATCGTCCATAAAACCAGAATTATACTTCCGATTATATATGAAATGTCAAGGTGGCAACAAAATTCAATCTTCCCGCTAATAGAACCGAAAATAGAATTCTTGTTTAGAACCGGAAGTATACCTCTGATACCATTTTTTACATTTTGAAGGGTGAAACCACATTTGGCCTGTTTTATGCAAAATATGGTGCGAACCGGAAATACATTTTTGATTTTTCGAGAAGCAGTTTCGAAATTGTATAGAATACCTCTTTTCTATACGGAGTGGGGTAAGAAATTTATTTTTACAATCACCACATTAATCATAAATCTAGGTTGAATATTTTACTTCTCGAATAAAGTTTGCTCCCACCAACTTCTAAATTTTTTTCTCTACAACATCATTACATTGATCATCTAGGTTGGATATTTTACTTCTTGAATAACGTTTGCTCCAACCAACTCCTAAATTTCTCTCTCTACCATATTTTTTTTTTAGACCAGTCTTGCATTCTCTCTAATTTTATGACCTTCACAATTGGGTTAATGACCAAACAATAACATGAAATCTGAATTTATTCCAGGAATATGCTTGAGAGACCGTGTAAATAGGTTTAGGTTCATTTTAGATCGTCTATGATAGATAAGTCCCCTTGGTTTTCTACCCAAGTTCATCCCCAATATAGAATCTTCACTGTATTTATTTTTTATTTAAAATAGTGGTGGTACTGAATATTAGTTTATTAATGTTTAACTATAGAGGTATGATCTTTTGATAGACGTGTAGGAAATTTAGTAAGTGGATTATACAGTAAAGAAAAAATGTAACTACTACATTACTGTTTCAATGCTGGTGGAGATTCTCCATAGAACACAGTTGCCCTATGAAGATAACTGGACTCCCTCCTTTTAGCCGAGACAAATCAAAGGAATGGTTAAAAGTGCGTCAGAGTTCAAAACATCGAATCAAAAGAACAATCAAAAGTAATTCGAAAACAACGAACAAACTAATCATAACCACCAGGTCAAAAACAACATCGAACTAATCATAACCACAGGGTGAATCGGAGACTACATCTCCATCCAAAATAACTTCACAAGTAATAATATAATACAAGTAAGATGTCTCGTCTGCAGCACTATACATAAACTATCTACAAATCCATATCTCTAAAAGACCCAAGAGCAAATGAAAATCATGCGTAAGTTTAAAAAATAAAATCCCTGAACAAAATCACTCTATAACTGACTACACAAACTTCAGGTTTCTAGATAACAATCCCATGACAAATGATCTTACAATGCTGAGGTTGTTTGGTCAGTAGAAACATTGATCCCCTGCGGAAGTTACACAATCAGCAAAGGTACAAACCCAATCATGAGGGTTCTTTTCCTGTCCATGAAGCCAGAGAAGAAACAAACAAAAAAATCTTTTTCTTTTTCTTAATTAGTTGGACCATACATGAACAAGACCATGTCTGTTACCAGTATAGATCTCGTTCCGGTCTTCATCATAAAAGAGGGCAGTTATGTCCTCCAAAGCCTCTGCAACTGAGCTCGTTATTTGGGACGAATCAGTGTGTTTGCAGCTGCAAGTATTATTGCAATCGTCCACCTTTGTACTGCAATTCGCAGCATTAATTTTGGCCACACACTTCCCTGTTAAGATGTGGCTCACATTGATGGAACCGGCTGCAACAAGAAGTAAATTATAATGAAATTAAAAGCTATTTACGATTACTGCACTCAGAAATCAAATATTAATGAAATCTCAAAGACAGTCACCATTGGGTTCCATCCATTGATCTTCAGAGTCAGCCTTGCAGTAAGAGATAATCAGGTCCTGATCACTTGTTATGTATATGTTGTTTGTGTTGCAGTCTGGATGCCATAACAGATGATCCTCGAATGATGTAACAAGTTCACCGCGGAAGTTCCAAACAGAAACTGTTCGATTTCTGAAAGTGAGGAATAACTGATTCTCGTATAGAAATATAAATGCTGATGGAGTCATGAACTGAGTTTTATTTACCTCCATCAGCTCAGAACTCCGTACCTACAAAAATAAAAAATATTACACAAACAAACTTGAAAATCATTTTAAAAGAGACATTAGAAAAAACATTTATATAAAAGGAAAAAGACAATTACAGATATAAACTAATTTTGAAAGAAAAGGTAAAATGAAGCCTTACATCAAGAATCTGAAGGTTCTCATTTTCCTGCTTGACTAGAAGCTTTTCATTGAATTGTTCTATGAAGTCCACCTTTTTATTCCGATGAAGTAGATGATTGAATGCTTTGAGAACTGTACCGTCCTCAATGGATATAATCTTGAGTGGAATGTGACCACTTGCTCTATTGAGTATTAATAACATGATGCCAGGACTGTAACAAAACATGTATTTGAGAGGAGCTCAATTAACATAAGAAGCAATTAAAACAGCAAAAAGAAAATTTCATACAGAATTGAAGTTAAGAGATTCTACTCAATAAAATACAAAACAACAGCGAGAGAAGAAGAAAATCTCAATGTAAAGAACATGTGCTTTACATAAAGTAGAAACCAAATCTTCTTAAAGATGAGAGCATCAAGCTACAACCAAATGCACAAGGGTAACATGGATTATAAATGGTCCAAGGGGCCCACTTTTTCAAAAATGCTAATCAAATAATTCAATAAAGAAATAAAAATAGAAGGATCATATTTTATCACCAAACATAACACACGTCAGGAGTATTGTGTTGCCCAATGCCCACAAATGTATAGCAGCTCATTGATATCAACTCTATTAAACAATTACGTCCAAACACAAGAATTATTCTTCAAGGATCGAGAAGACGAAGGATCAAGAGACACGAGAATTAGATGATAATAAATTCATTGAATGAGTTGGGAATTACAAAAAATTGTATGTAGTCAATCCTAGATACCCAAGAGTTCACATGCAAAAACCCAAAAATGCCCCTATAATGTTTTAGATTTTAAGGGCAAATGGGGGGTTTTGTTTAGTGATCAATATCGCAGAAAAGAAGGCTGTGACAAATGCATTGTGCTAAGCTACATGTCATTAGCGATCTCTTCTGTGGCGGCCAAATGCGACGCGCTCCACTACACATCATAAGTGATCTCTTCTGTGGCAGTGACACCCTTAATCCACACCCCTGCCTTTGCCATCGCGTCCAGCTCAATGGCGGTGCTATTCGCCGCTATTAACTACCTAGTGATAAAGTTGGGCAAAATCAAAGAAGAAATCTTCAAAAGATAACATGAGAACCACTGCCTATCTTTAGGAAAGCAGTGGCTTAGGACTGCTGTAGTATAAAATGTGAGAAATTTCCATAAACTAAATGAGAAGCTTGGATTCTGTATTTGCATCCCCACCCATTTAGGTCAACAGATACTTACTTCGGATAACCTAATGCTAAAGCAGTGCTAGTGTTGTCAATTGCGGATAATGGAAAATAGTGGTTTGTTCAAATTCTGCTGTTTGACAGCCCTGTGCTAAAGGAAATCAGGAACCAAGGAAAAATGTCATAGCTAGTTACCTGCTATAGAGGAATGTTCTTAAAGACCATATTGTCAACATCCAAACTCAATCCTTCTTCATTCTTAAACCAACTACAGACCTCCCAACTCATTAAGTAATACAGCTCCTAATACTTTTGAACATATTATCGATATAAACCCAGAGGAAAGCTTAAAAGATCTCAAATACAGCATAACCCACAACTTATTGGTGCCATGATCAAACCGCAAATGACAGACTGCAAGCCCTTATGAGGTCATCATGGATGCTCTAATAGACCTGATTGCTAATTGCTATTACTCTGGAAATAAGAAGCCACAAAACCTGAGAAAAAGGATCTCCTTTCCCCGGCAAATCTGCAATTATGAAATCAAGATTTTGGCTCTCCACTGAAAACTACGAAATGGTGCCCCACAATAAATCCTGAAATGCAACTTCTAATAGTAAAACACTTCTAAAAGCTAATCCATCAAACCCCAGCCGACCCTATCACAAGGTTTCTCAAATTCTAATAATGCACAAGAGTTTTTTACCTTAACTCCTTATATATACACATACCCCAAACAGTCTTCGGTATTTCCTCTTTTTCAAATGGTTTTTCAAGGAAAGAAGTATTTTCCAAAGTTTTAGTCCACCAAAATTTCAAAGAAAAGTCTAGATAAATTTTCTCATTAAACAAATCCTTAGGCTTTGATTGGTTGAGAGAATAATGTAAGAAGAGAGAATGGATGAGGAAGCAAGTGAGAAAAGAGAAAGCAGCAAGAAATATGTAAGAAATAGAAGTATTATGATGTCGTTTGGTCTAAGAGAGAGAGAGAGAAATTGGAACGAGAAATATAGCAGTATAACTATTGAATGCACAAAATGTCCCAAAAGCATGCATAACCAATTCTCAACCTTAGCCTATTTCCCCAGAGTCTTTTGTCTCCAGCCAGTTTTCTTTCTCAACAAACCTGCTCAAAATCATTTAACATGAAAAACCTTTTGTCACGTTCACTAGCCGGAAATCCATCCATGAGCTACTCAAGCAGCACCTCAACTTCTCAAAGAATTTCTTTTTCAATGTGATGTGTGTGCAGGTGCAATACACGGTACGGCAATGATTATGCTCACAACTTAAAATAGTTTATTTATTTAAAACGGGGTTTCAGCAGATACCGGAACTCTGAAGCAGAAAGTTAATCCAAAAAAGAGAAAGTACCTGATCTTGATCTCTTGAACATTCCTATCTGAAATTGAGTATAGCATAGTGTAGTTTTTAAGGTCAAAGATCTTGTATATACTGTTACCATTGGATAGAAGCGAGTAAGATAGAATAACAGATGGAAAACATGTACGTAGAAGTGGAATAGAAAGAGGAAGAGTGAAGGAAAGTACCTGTCTTGTGCAGAGTATGTTAGAACCTTTGCATTAACATCATCAAATTCCACAAATCCAGGCCACTTTAAAGACTCGGACTGGAAAAGAGGAAAACCAGCATCTGGCTCAGCCCTCCTTATGTATCTAGGAACAGAAATGAATGAATACATAAGTAACATAGTAAAATATGTTGTATACGGAGGAAGGAAAAATATGAATGTGCGGCCATAAAATTCACACACTCAATCCTCGTAGATCTGCATTTCAGAGAACTGAAATTCTCAGAAGCATAAACAGACACTGTAATAAGTGATTCGTTGTTCTTGTTGTAGAAGAGACTGCGGATGACTTCGTCAGGGCTAACATTCATAAAGCAAATCCTCTCATTTGTTTCTGCATGGATAAATACACCAATGATTAAGTTCTTGTTTGGAGTGCGAGATTTCAACCATTTGTGGTGAACCAAAACTAGAATAAAAAATAAAGCATACACAATAAAAGTAAAGATTTTGCATACAAATTAGATTTGACAATGACTAATAAACTAGTAATAAGCAATGATAATATAAATAATCAAAAGGCATGGCTTTTATAGAAACACGGCAAAGACAACGATTAACATATAGGAATGGGAAATGAAATCCAAACATACAAAATTCAAAAGTCATGGTTTATATACAAATAAGTCTTAAGCACGACACTTTTTTGATTGAAGACAAGTCCGGTGTCTGCACCAACACAGCACCGATACATAATATTATATTCGATTAATTTTTCTCAAATTATTACCCGTGTTTGTGATTCATAGAAAATCAAAATAATTCATTCAGATAATGAGCAATGGCAATTCATACACAAAAATAAATAAACAAATCATAGTTTCTATCTGTATTTTCGATGACAGATGGCAGAGAGCCAAAACCCAAAATCTCACAATAATGCCCGATTTAAGCGCCGCCACATCAGCATATGGCACCGTGGCACCACCATCCAGGACATATTTGGCCATGGCAGAGAACATAAAACCTTCTAAAAATATCCACCATGACTGATATTTTGACAACACTAGTTTCTACACAAACGGCAATGACTAATAAGAGGACAATGCACAACCGCAAATCGAAATTCTCTACAAGAAAATTTTCCAATCAAGGAATTTCGTGAAGATCAAACAAAAAAATCAGCTTGGTAGTACTTTGACTTCAAGAAATCAACTTCTAAATCCATATAGCTATACTAACCAGATGACCTTCATCTAACAATTTATATCCACATCATCCAAAAATCGACATCCACATCACTCGACTACAGCGAATCCATTCGAAATTCAATAACCTAAAATTATTCAGCCTAAATAACAGAATCAAAAACCCTCATATATGGTAATGAGTAATGGCAAACCATACAAACAAGCATAAAATTAAAAGTCTAGACTTTCTACAATCATGAAAACCCCCAACAAAAAAAAACCCCAAAAGGGCAAAAAAGGAAACTCACCTCTACTAAAAGCAGCACAAAGCCCAGAATGAGCCAACCCAAACACAACATTCTTAGCAGCCACAATCTCCACAATCTTAGTCCTCTTCATCAAGAACGGCAAGAACGGCTTCGGCGAACCCCGGTGTTTCGAATCATGAGTATCAAACTGATGAGTCAAACGCATGTTCTGGAACCTATGTGGAGCAGTAGCAGCAACAAAAGCACGGTGAGGTTTGGAAGAAACCTCGCGTGATTGAAGCTTCTTGATGACGCTGTTGGTGTTGAGGTTGGGGTTTTGGTTAGCGTTGGTAGTGTCGCTCTTGGTTGCTAATATGCGCCGTCTGCACCCTCCATGCCTCCTTTCGTCCATTCTCACTCTCATCTCATTACTTCCACCGAATTTTTGCTTTTGTTGCTAATTGTAAGCTGTTTGTTTTTTTATATATACTTTTCACTCTTCACTCCACCCTTTTGCTTTTCTTATAAAAAATAAAATCTTTTCTTGAGTAAATAATAATAAAATCTTTTTTTCTTTTTTTTCTTTCTAATTCTATCTTGAGTTTAATGGTGATGTATTCTAAACTAAAACTTATATTGTTAATATAAGATTTTCTTAATCGGATTTTATAAAATTAAATGTAAATATTTTATTCTAATTAAATTTATTTTTTAGGATTTTTTAAAATTTAATCCATAGACGTAATTAATTATTAAATTTAAACTATCGCTACAATCAATGTGAAACTTATTTTTAGGTAAATTCTTAGGTGATTGTATCTGACTAGAATGAATTGTCAAAGCCCACAAGCTATGAGTTGAGCAGTAGTTGAAAGCGATGTGGGGGTACCTACAAGACGCTATAATGTCAAAATGAGGTTCAGAGTTTAATGCAAGTAAGAAAGTATGAGAGTGTGAATGATTCAATACCTTACCCTCTCCAGTGAGAGGGTATTTATATCTCTCAGCGTTGGGCCAAGATCTCCAACGTTGGGCCACGATGAGACCCAACAATGAAGACTGTCAGGGCTTACGTGTGTATGGAGTCCAACACGTGGCATCTCCCTGGTCAACTACCCCGAGAAAGCAGGACCTGGACCCGTTATTCTCGGAAGGCAAGATGATGACGATGATATGGACACGTGGGCTATGTTCTCCAACGAACATGTGAAGAGTTGCCCAACGGTCCCCAACTTGGGCTGCTTGCCTTTGGGCCTTATACAAAGGTGTGGATTGGGCCTCCCCAACTGTGGGGCAAGCGATGACCCAGTCCAGATAAGGAGCCCCCGAGTTATTGTCCTTAGGTGAAAGGGTGATGACTTAAGTTCAGTTTCATGGTCGTAGATAATTTGCTCGAGAAGCTCAACGTAACCCTCTAACGGGGACAAATTGTCCTCCACGTCGGGGACAACCTATTTAACCTGTGCGAGCTGTGGTACGATATCCGTGGAGAGAGAATGGTAGCATTTCATGTCAGTCTTTGTATGTGACTGCCATTTTTTGTATGATCTTTTTAATGTTCTTATTCGCAGCTTCGACAGCACCATTCATCTTCGGCTGATAAGGGGAAGAATTGTGATGTTGGATCTTGAATTGCTCGCACAGGGCGGTGATCATAGTATTGTTCAGGTTCGTACCATTGTCTGTAATGATCCTCTTTGGGATACCGTACCGACAGATGAGATTCTGCTTGATGAACCGAGCGATAACATTCTTGGTAACGGAAGCGAAAGAAGCTGCCTCCATCCACTTTGTAAAATAGTTAATGGCTACTAAGATGAAGCGGTGTCCATTGGAGGTTGTTGGCTTGATTTCCCCAATCATATCAATCCCCCTCATAACAAAGGGCCAAGGAACCGTCAAGACATTCAAAGGAACCAGAGGTACGTGCACCTTGTCAGCATAAATCTGACACTTATGGTAGGTTCGAGAGTGTTGATAGCAATCTGCTTCCATGGTAGACCAGTAATAGCCTGCCCGTAGGATTTTTTTTGCCATCGTATGCCCACTGGAATGGGTGCCAAAAGTGCCTTCATGTAACTCAGCCATGATCTTTTCAACTTCAAACTTGTCTATGCACCGAAGTAATACGGAGTCATGGTTGTGTTTGTAAAGGATGTCATTACTAAGGAAGAATTTAGAAGAGAATCTCCTTAAGAACTTCTCATCGTTTACTAAAGCTCCTTCTGGATATTCTTGAGCCTCGAGATACCTCTTGACTTCGTGAAACCAAGGCAGGTCCACCACTTCTTCAGTATTGATCTCGTGACAGTGTGCTGGTTTATCCATCCGTTCAATAGTGATCTGGGGAGCCTCGTTATCCCATTTAAGTTTAAACACATATGACATTATGGCTAGTGCGTCTACTAGCTGATTTTCTTCTCGCGAGAAATGCTCAAAGATAATCTTCTCAAAATATGGGAGCAATGTCAAAACATGTTCTTTGTAGGGGATAAGGTTAGGGTGTTTGGTGTCTCATTCCCCTTTGATCTGGCTGATGACCAAAGCTGAATCTTGGAATACATTTAAAGATTTGATCCCCAAATTTATGGCAGCTTTAAGACCAAAGATGCACGCTTCGTATTCCTCCATGTTGTTTGTACAATTGAAGCAGAGTCTTGCAGTAAAAGGAGTATGGCATCCTTCAGGAGATATGAGTACAACACCGATACCTTTTCTGAGTGCGTTAGATGCCCCATCAAAAAACAGGGTCCATCGGGATCCTTGTTCAGGTTCGTCATATGGTCTGAATTCTTCATAGTTGTTTACCATCATGATGTCTTCATATGATGTCTTCATCTGGGAATTCGAACTTCATGGACTGGTAGTCTTCCACAGCTTGGTGAGCAAGGTGATCAGCTAGTACACTACCCTTTATTGCTTTCTGGGTAGTATATTGTATGTCATATTCTGTTAGGATCATCTTCCATCTCGCTATTCTCCCAAAGAGAGCAGGTTTCTCGAAGATGTATTTTATTGGATCCATTTTAGATATCAACAAGGTAGTATGGGTCAACATATATTGTCTTAACCGGCGAGCATCCCATGCCAGAGCGCAACAAGTTTTCTCGAGAAGTGAATATCTTGTTTCACAGTCGATAAACTTTTTGCTCAGGTAATAAATAGCGTTCTCTTTTCGGCCAGACTCGTCATGCTGCCCCAACACACACCCCTTTGAATTTTCCAAAACGGTCAGATACATGATCAATGGTCTTCCCTCGACCGGTGGCATTAAAATAGGAGGCTCTTGTAGATACTCTTTGATCTTGTCAAAAGCAGTTTGGCATTCATCATTCCATTTAACTACTTGATCTTTCTTCAGTAACTTGAAGATTGGTTCAAAAGTAGCTGTCAGGTGAGAAATGAATCTGGCAATGTAGCTCAACGTCCCAAGAATCCTCTGACTTCCTTCTCACTACGAGGAGCAGGCATCTCTTGTATCGCTTTCACTTTGGCAGGATCTACTTCAATACCCTTATTGCTAACGACAAAACCTGGGAGCTTACCAGACCTTACTCCAAACGTGCATTTATTTGGGTTCAACCTCAACTTGTACTTTTTTTGTCTCTCAAACAGTTTCTGTAAATGATCAAGATGCTCTTCTTCTGTTTGAGATCTAGCTATCATGTCGTCCATGTAGACCTCTATTTCGTGATGTATCGTGTCATGAAATAGAGCTACCACGGCACGCTGATAGGTTGCCCCAACATTCTTCAGTTCGAATGGCATAACCTTGTAGCAGAATATGTCCCACTGTGTGACAAATGTTGTTTTTTCCATGTTCTCAGGCGCCATTTTGATTTGGTTGTAACCTGAGGAACCGTCCATGAAGGCAAACACTTTGTGCTGTGTTGTATTGTCAACTGGAATATCAATGTGGGAAAGTGGGAAATCATCCTTGGGGCTTGCCCTATTCAAATCTTTGTAGTCCATGTACATTCACACTTTGCCGTCCTTTTTGGGCACGGGAACAACATTGGCAACCCATTGCGGATAGGAGGTGACAACCAAGAATCCAGCATTGAATTGTTTCATGACTTTTGCTTTAATCTTCTCCGACATATCTGGTCGCATTCGACGAACCTTTTGTTTTACTGGTGGGCAATCCTCTTTTGTAGGTAGACGATATACCGCAATATCTGCATCAAGTCCTGGCATGTCTTCATATGACCAGGAAAAGACCTCAACATAATCGTGCAATAACTGAATCAAACGCTCCTTGACACTGGGTTCCAGATTGGCGCCCACCTTTACTTCTCTTTTGTCTTCCTCGGTACCTAGGTTGATTGTATCCACGGGTTCCTCGTGGGGTTGAATGGTCCTCTGTTCTTGTTGTAGTAATCTGGCAAGTTCCCCTGGTACTTCACAATCTTCCTCACATTCGTCTTTGGCTTGGTAGATTAGATTTTCATAGTCATAAAAAGCCATAGCAGAACCGTTATCCATGGGATCTCGAATGGATGTAGACCTGCATTGTGAGTATGAGTGTGTGTAAGGGTATAGCTATCTTTGAAAGAAATGAAAAATGTAAAAATAAAAACAATGAGCACAAAGTTTGTATGTAAAAAACGTCCATGATTCATTGATGTCATATGGAAATGAGATAATAACCCTTACAAATGGATCATTGTGCCTCGGGTAAGACACAAGGTTTTAAGAGTCTGATTGTTTTAATATTACAGATCCAACAAAATGTAAATACAAATTATTGTGGGATAAAAGTGATTGGGACGAAATCTCTAACCTCCCAGTTGATGAGCCCTCCACTGATAGTTGGGAAAATCCAATCCTCCAGGTTGCAGATGTCTTCATCATCTTCCACCACATTGACTTCGCGGTTGCTGATCTTTAAGGGTGGTCCTCCGACACGAGCGTGACGCACAGCCTTCTGGGCACCCGAAGTGAAACCCAGGACAAACTTATCAGATTTGTATGGGATATCTGGGAGTTGCCCCCAGATAGTGCATCCACCTTTTTCTATCACTGCCTTTGCATCCTTCAAAGATGACATCCTGAGTGGAGGCCTTGTGATCTTGGGAACAACCTTGGCCACTGCCACATCTTGCGGGACTTCTTCAAAGTGTTGGAATGGAGTTCCAATAAATTCACCATCTTCCCTTGAATTAGATACTTCAGCATTTGGTGCAACGTAGAAGTAACGCCAGCATCATGAATCCATGGCCGGCCTAGCAATCAGGAATATGAAGGACGAATATCCATTACATAAAAAGTTAAATCATATTTTTGGGTTCCAACTTTTATGGGGATATCCACTTCCCCATGCACCATCCTTTTTGAGCCGTCAAAGGCCCTCACTACTATGTTACTTGGATTTAATGTCAATCCCTCACAGTCAAGCCTATCAAGAGCCTTTTTAGGCAATAC